CATTTAATAAATGTTTTGTTTTGATATATAAGTTGTTTGGGGTTTTTTCATCTGAAAAAGCAACATTAATTTCTTGACAACCTAATACTAGAACAAAATTATTTCTGGATAAAAACTAATAGTAAATGCCTCTTTAAATTGCCGTTTTCTTATTTTTGTGGAATTTTGTAGTAATTGTTGTGTGATTTCAACAGCATCACAAAGATCCTCATGAATTAATGACCTAAACCCTATTTTTTTATAGTTAGTTTAACTAATACTATTTGTTATAATGTTTAAAATAATTTTGAATAATTTTTTAATACTATATATACACATGAGAAGATTATTATGTATTATTAGCTCAGTATATAAATCTAGGACTAACATAAATCTTTTAAACAGGCTAAACCTTCAGACCTATTGCTGGGATTATGTTTGAAAATAATATTAACTGGAGATTCAATGTATTCTAATCATTATAGGCATATGCATCAGATGCAAAATATGTGTGTGTGTGAATTTATTACAGATATATGCTTGTTTACAAATACATTAGGCCACACATAATTGAGTGAATGGGAGGAATGTGAAGCTGATGATAAGAGCACTTACATTTATTATTTTTTGCTACTAACTTACCTAGTTAGATATCGACTGCACATGATTATAATGAAAGGTATTTTGTTGCTTTGTAGTGAATGTGCCAGCTATTTTGAATCTTTACAACAGTTTACAATGACACTTTTATTTAGATTCTTTGGTAGGTATCATACTGTAAATAAAAATTCAGGCTTTTACTTTACTTTAATAGCTTTGCTTAACTTGTGTCAAATATTGTAAGTGTCAAGCTTTAATTTCTCAGTCTTACTTTCTTAGCTCATTTTAACAACTCTGATATGATCATTTTCAGCTTTAGTCCAGTCTCTGCTGGTTGAATGCCTCAATATATGACTTACAACCAATTTAGACTGTAAAAATTGTTTTCATATGATGAGGTCCATTCAGCCACTGCTATCCTTGATATTAAATAAACTGTACATTTATATGTACACACAGACTTAAAATTTTCTTTGATGAAAGCTAACTTTCTTTCAAAAGATACTACACAGCCATTAGAAACAAACATAAAAAAAGAAGAATACTATATAGAATTTGTTCACAATGTTTTATAATAAAGATACTACAAATAACTAAATTCAAAGGATGGCTTATTCTCATCATACCAATTGGAAAGCAATTCAAATACTTCAGTGAAATAATTAAGAGTTAAAAGATGTTCAAATGATAAGAGTGAACCATCTTTAGATAATTATCACAGCACTCTGAGCTCCTGAAGAACATCGTCCAGCTGCAGTGTTGGATGTTCTGGAAAAAACTCTGATACTTCTTCCATCAAGTCTTGGTGTTTATTAGAAGCGTTACAAAACAATTCAGGTTGACAGGGTCTGAAAATTAGTTTACAACATATATTCTTTCTTCAATTAAATATTTATTTGAAAAGACAATAAGAATCAATTCTTATATTTTGGTAAAGTCAAATGTATTTTATACAGTTTTCTAAGGAATACTTATTAAAAAGTAGGATAACAGAAATTTATGATTTAGAATAATTCATATTAGTAAAAATAGCTTCATATTGTTTTCAACCATAATAATATAGTGAAAGAAGACATTTTTAAGCCATCAATTAACAGAATTGTTATATTCATTTAAGTAATATTAATTTAAATAAATATGAATATCTATTCCCAAATGAACAATACTGTTTGAAATTTACATAAGTAAACTGAAGTTGATTATAAAAAACATACCTACATCTCACACACACACACATATATATATATATATATATATATATATATATATATATATATAGTAATACTATATAGTTTATTTATTAATAAACTAATATCTTACTAGACACGACATAACAA